TGCCCTTCTGAAGGGGAGGAGAAAACCCCAGCGGTACACTTGGTCTCCTCGGGCAGGTGCTCGCTTGTCATTTCTTTGCAGTACTAACCTAGTCACTGCATTCACACTGAAGCCTCACCTTTCTTCCCTCCCCCCACACCTTTCTGCACAAAGTTTGTTCTTTTCAGATTCACAGGGACCTCTCAAACTCTGGGGGAGCGAACTGGAGAGAAGGGGAGGAGAAAACCCCAGCGGTACACTTGGTCTCCTCGGGCAGGTGCTCGCTTGTCATTTCTTTGCAGTACTAACCTAGTCACTGCATTCACACTGAAGCCTCACCTTTCTTCCCTCCCCCCACACCTTTCTGCACAAAGTTTGTTCTTTTCAGATTCACAGGGACCTCTCAAACTCTGGGGGAGCGAACTGGAGAGGGAAGCCAGCTCTTGATACAGTCACACAAGCCAACTGCCCCTCAGGACACTTCAATGATTTCCATGCTGCCTGAAAAACTCGACTGACTGCCTACTTTGCCCAGTTCTTCTCTGGATCTGTTGTCTGACATGATGCTCTCCCCAAATTCCATCTGGCAGCTTCTGCGCTTAAACTGCTTTTCGAAGGAGCTCTCCTCGTGCCAGCTCCTCCGGGAGTCCCCGCGGTCGCCCTGCTTGGCCCTCCTGCGCACGGCACAGGCCTGGTCGCAGCCCGTGGGCAGCTGGCTGCAGCTGTAGGCAGAGTACGCGGCGCTGTTCCCATAGATGGCCGAGGCAGAGTAGAAATGTGAGGACTCGGTTGCAAAGTACCAGCTGTTGGTCAGGGATGTGGCTGATGTCTGCGGAGCCAAGATGTCCGAGTGCCAACCTTTGAGGCCCAGCCCAGCAGTGGACTTTGCCAAATGCTGCTGGCTGGTGGAGAGGCCAAACAAGAAGTTCGTGCGGTAGTTGTCTTCCACGCTGCCGCTGCGGTGGAGGGGGTAGAGGAGCGCGCGCTGCGCGGCGCCGCCGGCTCTCCCCACGTGTTGCCGTTTGCCCTGGCTGTCCAGCTGCCAGGGGCTCTGGGGGTTCTTGGGAAGGTTTGCTTCCTCTTTGTCAGGGCTGCTTTCTGGGGTCTGCTCCGAGACCTCCTGCACAGGGGAGAACTGACACAACTTGCTGCTGCCCTCTAAAGCCGTCGTGTGTTTGTAATATTCCAGGGTGTCTTCGGAGGAGGCAAAGCCCTGGACTGATGCAGTCACACAGCTGCTGCTCGCTGAGTAGGACACAGATTTGATATCCAAAGAAAAGGAGCGCTTCAGCCGGTTGCTGTCTTCCACCTTATCCAGGGAGACGTGCAGTCCGTTGATGCCCTGTACCAGTGGGCCATCCTCCAGAGGGGCCAGGTGCCCACACGACGCACTGCCACAGTCCATCAGCTTCTGCTCCACCAGCTCGGAGGTGGCAGTAATGCAGAGCTGGTTTGTGGACAGGCTGCTCTGCCCACCTTCCGCGACCTGCATGTGCTCGCTGCTTTTTTCCAAATGCAGGAGTTTCAGCTTACTGATATGACCAGGCTGTCCACTCTGGTTCTTGAGCTTTTTCTCAAAGTCCAAAAGCTGGCCCAGGAAGTTGAAGTTGGGAGAAATGGTTGGCCTCTTTTCTTTCACAAACCTGGTAAGAGGGGACCAACAAACCAAGAATTAATTTAAGGACGTGGCTGTTCACACCTAAGATAACCCTAAAGTGATTGTTGTGAATGTCTACAACCTATGCTTAACTTAGCTTGGGCTGAGGTTCAATCAAGCACAAGTAGCTTGAGGCTGGAGTTAAAAAAGGCAGTTTTAAGCACAATAATGCTGCTGGATGCTCTCAGTTATGTCTATAGCTTACTCGAAGGTGGCTGAAAAGGAGTGAGGGGAGAACTCTTCATGATGTCCACAAGTGATTCAAGTGAATCATTTTCCTTATTTACTGCACCAGTGGGATCTTTGCTGCTTCAGTTTCTGACTGGATCAAGAGCTCCTTGAGTTTTGCATGAACAGCATCTGAGCTCTAGCCAAGAGACCATGACCTCCCCTGTGCCAGAGGGAGATGACACCTTCCCCACCATCCCGAGGGATGACATCCCATGGTCCTGTCACCTCTCTCATGCTGTCAGCACTTCCTCCCCTGTTTATCATTGTCAGGCAGGACAAAGAGCTGACCTCATCCAGCAAGTGCCAGTGATTTCTACCCCACGTTAGTATTGACTACTGATAGGACAGTCAAGAAGAGAAACAGAAAGGTGCAAATGCAGCATTAAAACAAAAACATTCTCTCGAGCCCTGTAAGGTGTTCAGCAGCAAAAGGGCAACAGGATTGCCAAATCCCTGGAAGAGTTTACCTATTTTCGAGCCTGACTGGCATGGGTGTGCTAGTCCAAGCACACACTCACCTACTGTGTGGAATATGGAGAAGGTGCAACCATCCTGAAAATGTTTTGCTGAACCAGTATGAAAGACTTAAGTAGCGGAAAGCACATCATATACTTGAAAACTAATTACAAAAGCAGACTTCCTACCTGTCTGCTCTGCAACACAGCTCACTGAGTACTCTGCTCCTTCCAGCCTGCAAACCAGAAAGCTGCTCAACTCCCTCCTCCTCGGGGTTTGATTTGTTTTTCAAGAAACATTCCTGGAACTATGCTTCACCAGATGACACGAGGAAGGAATTTTGAGGAGCTAAATCTAGTACAAACACATGTAATGTGTCCTTGGGAAAATTAAATATTAAAAATAAAACCCCTCTGGGGAAGTGTCCAGGAGGTGAGTGTGGTCATTACACCCAGTGTGAGACAGAGGGGAAAGTGTCTGTATGTGCTAACACAAATGCAGGCAGGTACATGAAAAATGTCAAACAAAATGTGCTTTTTTTTATTATTTTTTTGGTTTTGTAATTTGCCAAAGAGCAAACAATAATAGGAACAGTGAAGCTGCTGCGATGACCTGGAATATCAGGTTGCACAAGCTGCTAGTGGAAAGTTCCACCCTGGAGTGTAACACAGTCAAATGGAGAAATCTATTAAGTCTCCTCAGGAGAGATCCTTTAGTTTGACCTCTTTGCATTCAGTTTAGGAGCTTTTAGTCCAGTGTCAGCAACACACTCACAGAAATTCAGTCTTTGTTCATTGTTTTCCAGCCAAAGTTAGTTGCATTTGGGTTAGCTATTTAAAGCAAGGTCCTTCTTGCCTGTGCTCTGGTAGCCTCTCCAACACTGTTTCTTCTGCTTTCTCCTCATCTCACTCCAAAATATTGGGCAGTCCTAAATTTGAAACTAGCTTTTTTAGAAATAAAGAGGGTAGGAGAAAGTCTCCTGGATGCCCCGACAAGTTTTAAGGCTTTGCAAACTCTTTTGTATCAAAATACACACACTGTTTTCCAGTTGGAAAACATGTACCACATTTAAATTTTTATTTCTGTTAAATAGTCCCATTATACACAGGATTTTAAGTTTCTTTCTTCAACTTCCTCTTCAAGTAACAGTGCCACCTTTTCATTTTTGTAATAGTGTCAGACAAACATTTTCTCTAATGACTTCCATTAATTCAAAGCAAAATATTTTTCTTTCAAGCTTTGCCAACAAGAGATCCCAAACCAATGAGTGAAATGTTCTGCAGATGGTTCTCACTGAGCCATATCAAAGGAAATATAGCAAAATATAATCTAAATTTCACAGTAGTTGTTCAGCATCTACAGTGCAAAGAGGTCTTGGATGATTAATCCTTCACACTCTGTTCACACTTTCGGTTAAGATACAAACTAGAATTTAATGCAGAGATTTCATGGAGGGATTTAGAAGCAGCATTTCAGAAGTTCCCTGAAGCATGTGCATTTCAGAAGGGTTTGGTACTCTACAGCTTTAACCTGCAGACCACTACAGCCTGAGACTAGGCAGGGTTTTTACTGAGCTCACACCTTGTGCAGTATCTATCCACATCCACTGGAATCCATCCACATTATCTATACCTGCAGAGCTGAGCTTTTAGCTATGCTTCTTAACCAGACCTGTTTCACCAGTGCTGTTGAAATTACAGCACAGCACCAAGCTGGCAGCAGACTCGAGTAAGGCAATGTGGGAAATGTCTAAAGACAGCAGGCCAGGGCTGTAGGTCAGGCACTCCTTACATGCATTTTTTTCACTGCATACATAATTCCATTCATCAGCTTAAAAGAACAGGCCCTGGGAGATCATGTTCCACAAGGGAATATCCAATGTGCATCTCTCTGCCCTCAGCACTGTTTTAGACATGGTGGTAGCAAACACACAGGTGATTTCTAAGGTTCTCTGCACCTGCTGCAGCACAGCTCTCACACTGGTGCTGCACAGCATGGTGCAGTGATGACCAGCTGTGCCAGTGAGCCTGGCAAGCCCATCAGAAAGGAAAGCATTTTTTTCTGTATAACACAACAAAGCAGTTAGTTAAATTAAATACTGAAGTCATGGTAAACTGCAACCAAGCCACCTGGAATGTAGTAAAGTGTTCACAGTCCAAGGATAGAAAAAATGGGATCTGAAAGGTTAAGAAGAGGGAGAGAGAAGAGAGTGTCCAGCAACACTCCCTAATGGCACAAAGATGCTACTTCAAAATACTTTCTCCCACTGTTCTTGGTTGACTTTAGTAGCAACAAAGCAGCTTTCTCAGTTCCTAGATATTTCACCTGAAGGCAGTTCTTTGCAAGCACTACCAAATACCAAACTGCAGTCAGCAGATCCAGCCTAGCATTTCTCATACTCATGATTATAAATATCCTCAGGCTCTTTTTTTAACCCTTTCCATTCTGTTCTCTGGCTCACAAGGTACTGTTCTGTGCATGCTATAGCTGTGTATTTAGATGTTTGTACATGCACATACATTTAATAGTTTACATTCCCTGCATTTGCCTACTTGGAGCAAAGACCAGAGTCAGCATTTTCCAGGTGGATAATTAATATTAGCTATGTGATATCTACTCAACACCATTAGTTTGTTTCTGCAGGAAGTCTTTATTTAAAACAAAATGTGCAGGGCCCAGTGAGCCACCAGATAGAATAACACATTTGCTTCTACCCTTGGCCATATAACCCTTTATCATTCACCTTAAAAACAAGCCAACAGGCACAAGAATTAGTACAAGGGAAAATTTCTCCTTACCTGTAAGCTTCATCTAAAGACATATCCATTCTCTTCATGATGTATGCAATAGCAATCGTGGCAGAGCGAGAGATTCCAGCGAGACAGTGCACTAACACGTGGCCATTGGATGCTTTTGCTTTCTCTACACAGCAAAGAAATTGGCAGGTGTCAAACTCAGCAGCATTATACTATGATGAAAGGCTGGCAAATAAAGCAGCGTTATTTAAAAGGATTCAAAACTTCCAAATTAACTGCTAATTGCAAATCTTGTGGAAGCTTTAAACAAAAATCACTTCTTTCCTCTTACTGTATAGCATTGAGTATAGGAAAAGCACATGACTACAGACAGGAAACATGCTGCAGTTACAGCATACCCCATTTTAATGTGCACATAAACAACTCAATTTAGATGGCTGGGAAAGGTGATTGTTTCTAATTTTACAGACAAGTGGAAAGCAAGCATTCATGATGGAGCAATTTGGCCAGTTCAGATTTGGCTAGCTCACCTCTCAAAGGCAGCCAGAAGCTCTAAGTGTGTATGTCACTCTCTGCAGACATATCAGGCATCTCCCAGGCTGCCAGAAAGCAGAGTTCTGCTCTTAAGTGTCTCTGTTCCATAATGCTGGAACATGCAGTGATAGAATCTCCCTATATCATTTTGTTTCTGTGCTTATAGTGTGATGCTGACGTGCACATAGATCCCTAGGGTATTTTCATACCACACAGGAAGCATTCAGGGCTTCTGCAGCTGAAACAGCAAGGCAGACACACAAAGGAATCCAAAAACTGTTCCCAAGAGAGGCAGAGAATTTAGATTTTCTTCTCACCTATAAAATCCACTGATTTATCCAACCAAGGCAAAATTTTCTCACAAAAGCTGTCATTCACAGGCACTCTGAGGAAATGGGATTCTGGAATAAAATCAGGTTTGGGACAAGTATTGCTGGCATTCAGTACATAGCCAATATCGTTCTGCTGCATCAGCTCCTAGGAAAGAGAAAGGTTAAGCCTAGAGAAGTATCTTTGGCACATTGCAAAGCTAAAACCAAACTGAAATTCATGTTGGAATTGCTCTATCTGTATTAGGGACATTGTTTTGGGAAAAAAGACAACTCCTCAGCTCTTAATGAGACATCCAGTGTGCCCAAACAACATGTACTGCAAACATGATGAGAACAAAGCTAAAGAACAGAAATGATGGTGGAACAGCTTCTGCTCCTCTGAAGCATCACTTCCAAGAGAATCAATCTTTTGCTGCTTTGGTTTAGATTCTCACTGTGCAAGCCAACAACAAACACTTCCCACACGTAGTTTGCTGACCTGAGTATGTGTTTTCCACATCACATAGCTAAGACTGAGGTTGCCCCATCACAGATATTGGCAAGAAATGTGCAATGAACTGGATGCCTCCTGCAGTCACCCCTCAAGTCCAGGCCTGCCTTGTTTCTAAGGGGACATGCAGAACTCCCTCAAAACCTTGAGAGAAATGCTGAAGACCTTGAATGAAACCATTTTCACACAGCACTGGCTGCTGTTTTACAGGAGTTCCACGTTGTGATTTACAATTTAGCTGCCCAGATTTCAGTTTTCAGCCTCCAGGCCTCTTGCATCTCAGAGAATTGTCACAGGAACAACCAAAGAGACTCAATGCATGAGTCAACTGGGCTCTTAAATAAGTCAATTTTCATGACTGCAAATAAAAACCAGACTATTTTCTGCACCTTGACATACTCATGGTATTTAGATTTGTGCATAGTATGGGATGCAGTAGGTACCTTAGTGCAAAAACAAGCAAAACAAGTACTAAAAAACCAGAAATGGCTCTACCAAAACCCATCCAATCTCCTCCAAAGAAGCAATTTAGCATGTTGGAGTAATACTGATCAAACTTTGATGGTTCAGATATGATTTGGCAGTAAGTGACATGCAATACTATGCTTCAACAGTACTGACACTGAATATAAACACTAGAGAGCTTTTGGCCAAATTTCTATGGAAACTCATGTCTGAAACTAAACATTTAAAAAAAAAAGCCAAAAAGAAATCTAATTTTAATCCTTTTGCTTTCATAGCAGTTATATAACAAAGAAAAGTTTATGTCCATCCATGGGAGCAGAGCATGAATGAATTCTTACACTGCAAATTTCAACTTGGAGATCTACCAGTAGGAAAATACAGTCACAAACCCAAAGGGTCACTTCTTATGTATTTTTTCTACAAGCATAAAGATCTTTTTGAGAGGAGAGAGGGATATGGTTATGTAACAGAAGAGGCAGAACCTTTATCTTGTTCAAATCAGAGCAGTCTAAATAGCAGGTGCTGCTGCACACACAGATCCAGCACACGTGTGGTGCTGGATGTGCAGAGGGATGAACACGTGTACATGCAGAAATTAAACACTGAGTGAGAAGAAAAGCCTGCAGAGGAGAAGGGAATCTACATCAGTCATTTGCAGAGGAAAGTGCATAAGGTCCAGCCAATAATCATAGAATCCTAGAATTTTAGGGGTTGGACTACACAGCGTTCCCCTTCCAGGATCCCAAACTCTTCAGAATCAACTTCCATGAAATAATTACTTGCTTTAGATCACTAAGTTGATCTCTTTTTTAGTCTGTGAGAAGCTTTGTTTGATTTGATGGAGACTGGGGATTTGGTTTAGTCTGATAGAGGTTTGTGAGTCTTTAAGGTAATTAATTTCCTGCTGGCCTCAGGAAAAGAGCTCTGGGAGGGAAGGCCGAAGTGTTAAGTGTCCTGTCTAGCGAAAAGGCTCTGGTGTTGTCTCATCTCCACACAGGTCATAAGGAATATTAGTGAGAGAAGGGAGATGAGGAAGAGCTGATATGATTACTGGAGTACAGAGGTTTAGGTTGCATCTGTCCCTCACTGGACACCAGAACATGCAGGCGATTACTGGAATACAGAGGTTTAGGTTGCATCTCTCCCTCACTGGACACCAGAACATGCAGGTGCAAGGGAGAAGAATTGCACAGTTCTCTCAGGTCTTGGAGGAAAGCTGACAAGAGCTGATAAGAAGACTGGAGCACATACCCTACAAAGACAGGCTGAGAGAGTTGGGGCTGTTCAGCCTAGAGAAGAGAAGTTGTGTGGAGAGCTCAGAGAAACCTGCCTGGATCTGAAGGGGCTCCAGGGGAGCTGGAGAGGGACTCTTGGTTAGGAGTTGCAGTGATAAGACAAGGAGTAATGGGGATAAATTAAAAGAGAAAACTTTAGGTTAGATATTAGGAAAAAGTGTTTTCCTGTGAGGGTGGTGAGACACTGTCCCAGGTTGCCCAGGGAGGCTGTGGCTGCCCCAACCCTGGCAGTGTTCACAGCCAGGTTGGATGAGCCTTGAGCAACCTGCTCTGGTGGGAGGTGTCCCTGCCCAGGGCAGGGGTTGGGGCTGGATGATCTCTAGGGTCCATTCCAACCCCTTAACATACTATGAAACTATGAAACATACTATACTATGAAATACTGACTGCAAAGCAGCTCATCCCTCATTGTCACTGCTTGAATGTGAGCAAGGAACAACTGGAATACAACAGTCACGACCATTCTATCATAAGGGGTTGAAGCTGATGAAGGTATCACTTAAAAATGGACTGCTGTGATCCAGGTTTGTTCAGAGTACAGCTAAGGGGGGATGATGAATTTAGAAGAAGAATAGAAAACTTTACTTAATTTCTTTTAAAACAGAAGTGCTGGTGGCTGCACTGTCCAACCATCACAATTCCAGAGTTATGCAAGGTTTGTGATGTGGCATTGGTTATTCAAATGGGAACAAGGAGGCTGCAGACGCCAAGTCTGAAACCTACAAGCCAAAAAACCACCTCAAAATGTTAGTGCTTGTCTTTCAGACTAAGGCTAAAAAAAGAAGTTATGCTTCCTTCTGTTCTAAAGTATCAATCATTCCCTGTGCAACACACTCCAGTATAATAACCATAACAGTGACTTCATTGTAAGGCACCCAAGAGGAAGAAGTGAATTACGATGGGAGGAAGATCCAGAAATCCTAATACTAACAACTTTGTGAAAAGAAGGTAAATGCTCTTTTGTAAGCTTATTTACATTTTATGACTTGTTTAATCTGAAAATTAATAGGACCCTAAAATGTTATTTTGTTCCAGGAAATAAAATCCAGGTCTGGAAGAAAAGAAAGAGAATACTTATGTAAGTAGGAAAGCAGAAAGTTTTACAGTTTAAATGCTGGTACAAACCATGAGATGTAAGTAGGAGGCTTGTTCAGGCCCATAACCACAATACAGATTTTTTTTCTGTCACACTGTCACCCCTGTGTAGGTGAGAATTGAGTTTCTCTTTCACAAGGAGGAAAGAAGACCTTCTGTAAAAGTAAGTACCATCTTGCAATGCTACCAATATATCACGTAGAGACAACCACACTGTATCACACTGACACCCCAAACTGAAACAAACTTCTCTTAGAACTCCTATGAGGGTTTTAGCATTTCATCAGTGCAAAAAAATTGTTATGAACATTTTCAGAATTAAGTATTCAGAAAGAAATCTGTAAAATATAGAAAACTTCTCCTAAGGCTTTCATGAATGAATCATTCATTTTTGTGAAGGGCACAAACCAAGCATTTGTGTTTGCATAACATTCCTAAATAAAGTATTATCAGCAGAGGTATTCATGGCAAATAGCATTAGTATTCTGAAAAGGTCATGAATACACATTGTCCTGCAACAAGAGAAGCATTTCCCTCCCATGCACTCAGAGATAAGCTTATAAAGATCCTTAAAAGATAAGCTCATCTTGATAAAACAGGATGAAAATTCACATCCTTAAATCATCAGGTCAAACAGTAGTACAGATTCCTTTGCTTTCTACAGATATCTTTGAGACAATTTAATTTTAGAGACATCAGTATGTCTGGTCAATGGAAGGAAACATGAAAACTCACAGATAGCATTTGAAGGCAAAAAATAAGGTCAGTGTTTACAACTACATCATAATAGTTTGGGGAATCATAGTAGAAATTTGCAGAAATTTATTTTTTAAAAAAATCTGGACTTGAATAGCAAACAGCTATTTTAATCCTCACGGAAAGCTGATTTCTTGTCCCAAGTAGCCCCAGCCAGGCCATTAAACCACAGCATGCAAACTTAACCACTTACCAGCTCCTGGACTGACCTAGCAGAGGCAGAACTTTGCTACTTATCTCTGGGTTTTTGTTTCTGGCTCTCCATTCCCAAATGTTCTTCCCTTCCCAGCTTTCCTGCCATGAATTACTACACTGATTGCCCAGGAAGAGTCATCCTCCTTGCTCTCCCCAGTGCTTGTGTGTAGGATCCAGGCTGCCCCAGATGCAAAGCATGTTGAAGGAAGAGCAGCAGAGATCCATTACTCCTGTTCCCAGAAGCAAAGCATGTTGAAGAAAGAGCAGCAGAGATCCATTACTCCTGTCTCTAATGTGCCAATGTCTAAGCTACTGCTAACTTTTGGTTACATCAAGAGACTGATTAGACTCAGGAAACTGGGATATCTGGGAAAACATCAAGTGGGTTCTGAGAGGTAGAAATCATAGCTTGTTCCCACAACTCTTTGATGGTTTCCAATATTAAAGATAGAAGCCACATGGCATCTTCCAGGGGCAACCACAGAAACTGAAGAGTTAAGATAAGCCACTAAGATCTGCTTCAGTGCAGCAAACAAGTGCCATGCCCAGAGCAAAGCATTTTGCACATTTGTTCAAAGTAAGAGGAAATAGGTACAAAAAAATAAGTAGATCTGAAATCATAAGATGTATATTTGTCCTAAAATGGATGAGGAATGTAAGAGGTATTTTAGTTGCCAATGGAAGGACTTCCCAAAGATTGACTGTCAAGGATGACACCAGGCTGTAAGACCTTGCTGAACTTTCTGTGCATTGTTTACTGTCATTTTTGTGGTTCCCCATACAAAATGGGAAACACAGTAATCCTTGATCCTCCCTCCCAAGAACATGTGAAGAAGTACAAATCTGACTTAACTCCTCAGGCTCTCACATGAATTCCAAAGTGCAGCTGCAGGGCTTCCTTTGGCACATGCTGAAATACTACTGAAATTGTAGATTAAAAGGCAAAAATGGCACCCCAGGTCTGATCTCTTCTTGCAGCCTCTGCCACACTCAGGGTTCACCAGCTCAGGTTTTAGCCTCCTCCAGCCCTATAATCAAAGTCCTGAAAGACTGCTGCTGCCACTTGGATTCCATTCCACTTAGGAGCTGCAGCACTGGAGTTCCAGTTACACCCCAAAGCAACACATCCCTGGCCCCAGAGAAGAACAAGTTGTCCCCTCACTCCCAAAATGACTTAGGATAGCACCTGCCCTTCACACACTGAAACAAACAGCATAAAAGCATCTTTCTAATACTCTACCATTGAAAGAAAAGAACATTTTTTTTCTTGTAATTACTTAGTTCCTGCTGTCTTTTGTCTGGGGACCACAAATTGCTTTTGTGGTAGAAAAAGTAATAAGCTGCTTTGACATCTATCGTAAGTGAATCAAGTTTGAATTGTTAACTCGCTACCTGGCAGTAAAGGCAAGGAAGATTTTAAAGGACAAAGTAAATGCAATGACCACTGACTATCCTCCATTTCTGTGCTCTCTATTAAGGCATAATTATTCTAGGTGATTGCTCGTGTGTCAAAAATCCCCTTAAAATAATTGTGAAACATCTGAAAATAGCCTATTAATGGCCAGACAGGGATGGAGCAAAAGTAGCAGAAAACAGTGAAAAAATATAATGGTCAAAGTACATGAATTTGATCCAGTTACAGGACCATTTAGGATAGTTCCTGGCTTAAGCTGTATATATGGATGCAAAACCATACACATAAGACTTGCACATAAGGCAAAATGCTAGGGTGAAGCTCTCCTTCCCTCTTCCCCATCCATGTATTTAATGCCAGCTTGTGAAGGCTGTTGGAGGTTCAACTCCTGGCTAAGGCTGTCAGACAGGATGGGAGGCAAGAGGGCACATGCAGCAGAAGTAACAAAAATTCCCTTGTCAAAGGACCCAAGATGCAGATTGGAAGCAGTATGGGTTGGTCTCCTCATGGAGGCAAACATCTGTGGATATGCATAGGAATACAGACCTTCAGCAATTTGAGACACTGAGCTCTTTTAGACATCTGATAGCCCAGCACCCTACAAGTGCTATATTTGATGACTTTGGTGAATATTTTAAGTATACAAAAATATTCTGGGCTATTCTTTAGGAGCAGAAATTACTAAATGCACATGTACTCAGAAACAGTAAAAGTTTCTTAGGGTAGTGCTACCGTAAAGCTAATTTTAAACAACCCCACTGGTTGTCCAGGGCTGAACACTTCAGCAGGTGTACAACAAAAATGCAGTAGTCCCTCATTATACAATTGATGGTATTTAAATGCTATTTTTTCTAGCACTTGAAGGAAATACTAAAAAACAATCTTCTTTTGTAACTATGAACATAACTGTGTTAACATCCAACACCTGCCCAAGCAAACCAGTCAGAGCTGTACACAGGAAAGCACTTGACCTGCTGTAATGGCAGATTTGATAGTTTGCTGTTGGTTGAGAGGTTACTGAGGAAAGTACCATATCTTCTCCAAGATGAAGGAGAAACAAGACCAAGTTTTGTATTACATGACACGTAGATTAGCTACATGGTCTGTGTATCATTAGTTCCCACATAGCTTTTCATGGTTTATGCACAGGCAGCTGTTATCTGCATCTGCTTTGCATGTTTCATAGCTATGACAATGCAGCATGATAGAAACATGAAGATACATGGGATTATATACTCATCCAAGTAAACAACATGACACACAAAGCTCACCTTGTTGAGAACATCTCGCTGACACCCAAGATAGAGATGAGGCAGGATCCTAGTTGGGCCAATGTTGGAGACAGGCAGGCAGGGTTGAGAAATACAAGTAGGGATGAGTGTGGATTTTCCTTCACAGAGACCAGGGAAA